ATACCACTTCAATCTCTAGGCACCCTGTCAGACGCTTTTTCTGTATATAGTGATTCTCTTCTTGCTTTCTGAAGTGCTGTTTGTGAAGAAAAGGCCACATTCACTAGTTGTCTAAAAGACTGAGGCTATCAGGTACAAAGCTTTCTTGATCTTCTAGATCAACTGGTTACCTGTCTTATCTTCTTTTGATCAATAATTGATAACTGGAATGAATCATGAGATTTTCTCACATTCCCAGGGAAATGTATTCCCTTATCCTGGAATTAAACGTCTGCTGATTTTATAGCATCAGATATTAGCTCTGATTCTAGCAGATGTTTAAAAAGATTAACTAATACTCACTCTTATTTGAGAAAGTGAACATTTAAAAATGTATAGCAAAATATACTATGGAGAAAGGAATCTTTCAGCCCAAAGCTGCACCTGTTAGAAGGGATTGCTACATGTCCCATAATTTTGTGTGCTATATAGCACATCTAAACGGGTTTCCAGAAAGCTAGCAGTGTGCTATCAAAGAGTTGTGAAAACAAGTAAATTTAACACAGGTTAAATTGTGTAACTGATTAAACTGTTAATTAACTGTTAACTAATTGAACTGTTTTGTGAACAGCTTTTCTTTATCCTGGTTGTGACTGTATTCTGCCTATGTATTTCAGTGTACCAGTTCACCATGGTAGATAGATTAAGGCTACACTGCCATTTACTGTTCTGCAACTCTGGCTCAAGAATATGATGTCCCCCTCTCCTGCAACTAGTTGCAGTGCTGTAAAGGGCCAGTTAAACTAGTTTCCAGTGGTGGGAGCCATGCTCCCACTAATGTTAGCTACTCCCCTGGTGGAGGTGGTTTACATAGAGCACTTTGAAGCATTACAGCAGCTTCACTTTAATTTTAGAAGTGTAGGAAAAACTCAAGCTTCCACAGGACTCATAATATCATTGCACTTGGTTCACTTTCAGAGTATGTCAACAGATGGAATGGCCAGAGCCATTCATCAAAATCTTACCAATTTCACTGTAGTAACTTCTGATCTTTCAGTAATTTAAGTGTTTGCTTCTGCTGAGTTATAGTATCATACTTTTTATCAATAAAGCTAATGTTATTTTAATATGTTGAAAAGGTTACATTTGTTCAGGTTACATAAAATTTCGTATCGATGTGATTTTGAAGACCCCATTAACATAGCATCTGTTGTTATTCCCCCTGAAAATCTGGATAACAGTTCATAGAGTGACTCACACTCACAGGACCTTGTAGGTGTGCAGTCAGTACTTTCTGAGTGTCATGCCACAGATGGAAAGAGATTATACCGCTGTTTTATCTGCTATTTATTGGGGGAGCCTGTATAGGGTCTGTTTCTTAAAAGTAGTCCATCCAGTCCACTAATGAACCCAGACCTTCCTTTCCTTACATAATATCAGCCATTCAGACAGACGACTCTTTGGGCACTGTATCTCCATGGAGGATCTCAGGCCTCCTCCATGGAATACTCTCCCATTGTCTTGGTAGCCTAGCCCTATAGGACAGGGCTGGGGAACCTAAGGCCTAGGGGCTAGATGCAGCCCCTGACTTGCCTGGATCTGGCCCCCGAGCCTCAGGGCTCCCCTCAGCACTGGAGAGCCCATGCTGGTGCTTCAGCCCTCCCACAGGGCTTGTGCACACAAAATCTACTAACATGGGTCCCCCTAGGCTCTGGTGTGCGAGGGGAATATTGGTGTGTCTTTCCGCTTCTCAGTTGGGGGCCACATCAATGAGAATTTGTTTGGGTTCTTTGCTTCTCGACTGATTTTTCTGTAGGTCGGCGGCCCCGAACCAAAATAAAGTACTAGTTGAACTCTCGTTAAAGCAGGGCTATTCAACTTTGGAAGCCCCAGGAACCACAGTGATACTCCCAGCACATGCCGATGGCTGCAGCTTAAGTGTGGTTGCATGTACATGCAAATACATATACTAATATATGCAACTAGCTTCTTTCACATTGATGGGCATGAATACAAAGATTAATCCTTAACCCATGGTGCCGGACCCAAATGTGGCCAGTGTAAGCCAGTCAGCACCTCTCAGGCTCTGCCCACAAGGCTAAGCAGCCAGCACTTCCCATAATGCCCTGGTGCTCCTGGCACCTTCTCCCTGGGGGCTAGAAACACTGACACTCTATACCCCTCAGTTCCAGTCAGCCCATCTGCTTGCATCTTTCAGTGCTCACCCCGCCAGGGAAATGCCTTGCCATTGTGGATCATGTTCCCAGTGGAAACCATGTTCAAAGGATCCCACCTATGGGCCATGTGTTGAGCCCCGTGTAAATCCAGACTGCACCACGGGTCATATACACATGCACAAGGTACTTGTCACGTTTTTTTAAGTTTTAAAAAATTGTTATATTTTCACTCACATTAATTGGCCCAGAAAATTCAGAATAAGGAGCCCCTCATATCTGTCAGACTGAGCAGAGAGTATGAGATTTCTCCTGCTCCCTAGATAATTCCTTCTCTTCCATGACTTTTTATTGGTTCTGCTAAAAATTTAGAAATTGCTGAAATCATTCATCTACCTGGTAATTAATAATTTTGAATGCATTTTCTGATACTTAACCAATCCTGTATTCTTTCAGGACAGTTGACATGTGAAAGTTTAGTTTTTCACTTTTTTGCTTTGGACATAATTAAGAATTATTATTAGAGTTTTTTATGCTTGCCAAAATCATAATTTCCTCCAATTATCTCTCCTCTGCTATGCCCCATCTCATTTAACTCAGAGCCAAGAAAAACACCTTTGGACTGAGACTATATTAATAATTTTGAAATACAGTATTGTAATCAATAACTTGATTTAAGCAATGAACATTAAATTTCAACAGTGCTTTTTGCCTTTCAATTAAATGAAAACATTTACCACTGAGTAAAGAGCTTTAATAATTTTATTTCTTGTTGTGCCATTTTGTTTTTGGAAATATCAAAATTGGAAATATTTTTGAAAAGGTAAACATGATTGAAAATGGACTCAAGGGGAAATCTTTATATCATTCTCCACCCGTGCTATATTTTAGATTAGAAATTATAGCTTCCTAAGGAAAAATTAAAATTTCATTTTACATGTTTATGTTGCTTGTGACTTGTTGTTGCTTGATTTTTACCAAGAAATTACTTCAATATTTGGACATCCAGCTGTTTTATTATATTTAATATTTATTAGTCATATTTTGAATTGTTACAATTTCATCAGTTAATTCAGTTTTGCTATGTCTTTTTGTTATGTGGTGTGGCAAAAAAATCACATATGATCTACTTGGCCCAATGGGTCTTGATCTTGAAAATTATCATGCATGTAGTTTATTTAACTTCCATGTTCACATACACATACACAGAGTCAAACAATTTAAACTCTGAATAATCCTAAGTATATCAGTATTAAAAATGAGTTTGATTTGTATCTTGGACCCTACTCTACATTGAGTTGTGTTGCAAAGAACATTATACAACTAGATTATGGTAATCTGCTCATGGGAGGACCTGAACCACAGAACCAAGGTCAAGACAGAGTTCTTTGCAAAATCCCAAATGGCCAGTTTCTTAAAGGTAAAATATTGGTTTTAGGTTTATTAGACTGCAACTAACACCTCATTACTTTCCTTCACTTTCACAAAAAGAGTCCTATACTCTCAGTTTTCCTTATAACATGATTGAAAGAAAATGTTTCAAGTCAAACTAATTTAAGATTAAACTGTCACAAATTATTTTATTACAGCATGTACACAAATTGCTTACATATCTGATCACATTCTGATTACTTTTCAAGTGGTAAATAATGCTACTTACCTCTTATATAGTGCTTTACATTTTCAAAGTGCTTTTCAGTCATTAGCTAATTAATCAGCATAATACTCTGGTGAGGTAGGTACATTAGTATTATTTATCCCCATTTTACAGATGAAGAAATTTAGACTGAGATGATTTACTCAAGGCCAAATGAAAGCATTCAGTGTCAGAGACTGGATTATATCTCTTGAGTTCTTGGCTCCTAATTGTATGTCATGCTTAATCTCAGAGTACTAAATTTTATTAAACATATCTATGTTGTGCCAGTCTAATTAGTATGTGACTCACTCTTTGTGTGCATATACAAATCAAACATTTGATTAGATGCTTTGCCAGTTAGTCCCTTGCACGGTACTAGGATAATGTGTACATGGGTTAGTATTTGCCCATGCAAGTGTACATGTACAGGGTTTGAAAATCCACTCACCCACTTGCCTGTAACAAACAGGAATATTTCCTAGATATCACCTTCTGCAGAGATTAAACTTTCATTTGAAAAAATTAATTTCCAACTTTTATAGTTTAGAACATATCCATTGAAGTGTGAATTGAGTGTAACAGGTACGGTGATGTCACCTTGTGTCTGTAAGTAGATGACTTCATTGCCATTATTAGTGCTTACTCATAACGTTTTCCTAGTTTCAGCAAAAGGAAAACTGATCAGAAGCATGTTAGTGTGCTCTGCTGCTGTTCAGAACCTGTAGAAAATAGTAATAGAAATGTAGCCGTGTTAGTCTGGTGTAGCTGAAGCAAAATACAGAACTATGTAGCACTTTAAAGACTAACAAGATTGTTTATTAGATGATGAGCTTTCGTGGGCCAGACCCACTTCCTCAGATCAAGTAGTGGAAGAAAATAGTCACAACCATATATACCAAAGGATACAATTTTAAAAAAATGAACACATATGAAAAGGACAAATCAAATTTCAGAACAGAAGGGGGTGGGAGGGGGGAAGGTGAATGTCTGTGGGCTAATCATTAGCCCACAGACATTCATCTCCCCCCCCATCCCTCTTCTGTTCTGAAATTTGATTTGTCCTTTTCATATGTGTTCATTTTTTTAAAATTGTATCCTTTGGTATATATGGTTGTGACTATTTTCTTCCACTACTTGATCTGAGGAAGTGGCCCACGAAAGCTCATCATCTAATAAACCATCTTGTTAGTCTTTAAAGTGCTACATAGTCCTGTATTTTGCTGTAGAAAATAGGTAAGAGTCAGCAGATTAACTTCATTGTGCTACTGTGAGAAACACTAAAATAGACACTGGTGCTGTTGGAGAGAAAGACAATTTAAAAAAATAATAATCCCAAATGGGGTGAAATAGCAGAGTCACTCTATGCCATCTTAATAAAATAGTAATAATGAACTATTATAAAATAGTCATATCTGCTACTTCAGTTACAGTAGCAACTGTCACTGTTTTGTACAATATCTACCTCTTCATCTTTCAACTGTGATATGGAAATCAGGGTGTAGCAGTTGTCAAATTTAGGGAAAAAAGGTTAAACATAAAATGGATTATTTAAAAAGCAACAATGTAAACTTTCCGTTTAAATATCTTGAAATAATAAAAATGAAATCCAGCATTTATTTTTCAATTTTTAAAGTTTAGTTCTTAATCAAGGAATTTAAAATAATGGAGGGACAATTTGAAAATATGCAAAATAAGAGTAAAAGCTGTGCTTCTCTGTTTTATTGTCTGCTGTACGTAATGGGGAGACTCACAGTATGATGCCCCCTTGTGGCTACCCACAAAATAAATAAAAGTGCAGAAACTCTTCAAACAGGTGGCACATTTAGTGATCCAACTGACAGGCATCAAACACTTCTGAAATCAAATATATATTTATTGAATCAGTATCTTGAGAAATATTATTTTCAACAAATCACTGTTGGGGGAGAGGGAGGAAGCAAGACACTTGTCTGTTCCCTTTTCATTTAAACTGTGAAATGTATTTTCCACAAGTAGATCCTGTTTTAATAACTGAACACTTGATTAGGTAATGTTAAGTTTGCTGCAAGTGTAGTTTAATAACCCTCTACACTTTAAATATTTTAGTATGCAAATAAACCATTAATATCCTCATAAATTTGCAAATGCATATATTGTTATGCCTGGAGGGGAAATAAATCAGGATTTATTGGTATCACTTACACTACAGTTTCTTAAAAGTAAAGCGCTGTTGTCCAGACAAAATGAACTTTAACTCACTTGCCCATGTGCTGATTATTTTTATTTAGCCTGGCAGTAGCTTCATAAAGTTGTGAATCTAGATATACGCACAGGAGAGCACAGCATAGAATCAAAAGACCTGTATATGTATTTTTTCCTCTAGTTGTTTCTTTGCTGTACTATTACCAACTGGTATCAGAACAATTTGAGTGTTTGAGCAAAGGACATGTAGATAATGTTGATCTTTTCCTGTATTTTTAAAATGCTGTCTCATAAGCTTAGTAGATGCTTCAGCCTACTATACTAATAGTACACACAAAACATATTTAAGATGGTACATTGTAGCACTTCTGAGAGAGCCCTCACTTCATCCTGACCACTGAATGTTTTGTTTTTGGTTCTATCCTTCAGTATCTCTTCATGAAAGATTATATCAAAGAATGAAATTATAATTGATTGGTGTTATTGATTTTTTTTTTTAAAGAGTCTAATGGGTGATGGAAACAGTATATGCCTATGTGCTATTTTACTGGTGGCCTATTTTTTTTAAATTTAAAAAGCATATGAGCCCAATTTACATATTTACTAATTAAAAAAGCTTCCTGGAAACATTAAGTAGACTATCTTCTGTAACCTTTAACATTGTAGCTAATGGATATAGCCTGGAAATTTTCATAGAAGGTTCTCTAAATAATGTAAAATGATTATGAATATGTAACTAGTTAATATGCAGCTATGAAAGGATTATCATGTAGAGGTTAATGAACATGCTGCTCTTATGGTTTGCAGGGTTTTTCTTTTTGTGCTTTTAGCTCACTTCATGCATGGAAAGTCATGTATTGGGAATGGAAAGCTTCCTGTCTTTTCTTTTTTTTGTAGACTCATCTTTAATGGGGCAATTAAGCAGGAACTTCCTTGAAGGATTTTGTAAACATTTTTGTGCACTTAATTATGTTGTGTGCTTTGCAATCTATCAAATCTGAAACAGTGAAATATGTACATATAATCTTATCTGATTTTTCTACTTGTAAAAACAGTACTCTCTGTATTACTTACTGTTATGAAATGTTGCTACTGTGTGGGACATACAAGGGAAGCTTAATTTTAAACTAGATTTGTATATTATGGATTAATAATATGGTTTTCTGCATATGTATCATCTAGAAATCTTCCTCTTTGTGCCTAGCATTTTAAAAAAACTAGCAAATATTTTAGGTAAGATTATTTTATAGAAATTAAATTTAGGATTTAAAATGACAGGTCTTCAGTGCCTAAGGACATTTAACCTTGGTGTTAAGCACAGCCAACTGGATGGCTGAATTTGTCCCAACATGTAGGGTTATTATGATAGCAGTGAGGCCACACATGTAGCACTAAATCTTCAGCCCTTACACATTTGAATAATTTTTAGCTCTCAAAAGAGTCCTATTCCCATTTCAGGCAAATTTTCCTCTTAATTGCTTTCAAATGTTAGCATTCTTTTGTCCATGTAAGAAATATATTTGCAAAATGTCTGAAAAATGTTATATTGAGGAGATGTCTAGATATGTTTAATTGCCTCATAGCCTCTTTGCATTTCATGTAATTGAGTGAAATTGTCTTTTTACTTATCAATGTGTTATAGGAAGTTCTGTATGTATTTAAACAAAATGTCCATGCAATTGTGGTACAACAGACCAGCATCATATTGACTGTATATACTGTATGTATAGTGTCTCTTATTACTAAACTGAGGGACTCTCTCAACTTAATATTTCAAAGTATACAGTCTTAAAATATTTTGATTTGATTAATTTTTAGTTTCTTTGGGAACCCTGTATTTTGAAGAAAAAAGTGAGCTGCTCAGATCATAACTGTTTCTTTTAAAAAGAAAATGGAGGTAAACTTTGCATTTAAACACTGCAAAATTAATGTGTACTGTTTCAAAACTGTAAGTGAAAACATTTGTAGATAGAGAAAAACATTTTCAGGGCTTATTTTTCTTTTAACTGAATAAGCATGGATGTTACATTGGCATCTTGTTATAATTTATATTGGTTTCTTATCCTACAAAACAAGTAACATTGAAAATAGATCTGTAGATTGTACAAAATACTAGTAATCTTATATCATGTGTCACCTAATAGTTATACAGCCGGTATTGTACCAAAATATGAATTGGAAAGCTGTAATTTGTTCTCCAGATATCTGTTTGCATTAGTGTTGTGATAAAGTGTGCTGCTTAAGAACTAACATTCACATGCCTTTGCACTGACAAATAAAAATGTATATAGAGATGCTACCAAATCTGTAAAGCTACTGTTCTAGTTTCTGATACACTGACATTGCAGCTGTGTGCTTAGCCTTGTTTTTTCATGAGCAGTTATCTGTTTTAATGACAGGTGGTCACTAGCTGCCAAGAAAAAATCCAGCACTGGTAAGTGAAAAATGTTTGATTACATGCTTAAAATACAGATGAAGTAACCTATTTGTGGTTTAGTAAAGTACCATGCAATTACAGTTTTTATAACAATGTTAGTCAAAATCTACTAGTATACTTTGGGTGTATAGTTTGAGATAGCTCTGATTTATTGTAGGGTGCTCTCTTTAAAATTCATGTTTCTTTCCTGTAATATCACTTCTCTAACTCACAAATAATCTTAGTGTATCTGCTTCTTCTATAGCCTATTTTCTCTTGCCATTTTTTTTGCCCAAATAGTTTTGTTTAAAGAATATTGGAACTGCTTGACTTGATAAAAAGGTGTAATCAATCTAGAAGTTGTTCCTGAGTGTTTTTTAAAATACTATTACTACTATTAGAAAGCACACATGCTTATTTTACATAATTTTATGTACATATCATGAAAATATAACTTCATTATTTTTACAATAATGTTTAGGGAAAAAGTGTTACTTAAAATATTCTCTCTAGGCATTTTTTCTTTGCTGCTGTTTTTGATCCATCCATAGTAGAAAACATACCTAGTAAATAGCAGTTTCATATGGTATTTGAGGAAAATGTACATTTAATGGTGAATGAAATATTATGAGTTAGTGAGATACAACATTTGATCTTACAGATATCAAATTACAATATACCCATGCTGTGTTTACTATGATTTTACTGAGAGAACAACAGGAGCTGTCTTGATTATTGTCTGCAGGGTTATTGCAAAATCACAGCAACTGCCCCTTTAGTGGTGAGATTAAACCTTTGGTTATACATCATCAAGCATATAATATTTTAAATTTATTTTACAAGGCTTTTTCTTCATGCCTGAAAGATCTCAAAGCAAATAATTTATAGTTAGTGTATATCAAATGTTTGTAGTTTAAATGCACGTAGGCTGCAAGCAGTGGATAAGAGTTAAAAAAATCAGGGCAATCTATACACATCATATTAGATTCTGACTATTGGCTTGTAGAAAATAATCTAAAAGTAATATGTTTCACTTATGTTTAAAATTCAGAGACTACATTAATTCTCAGTAAGGCAGATATTACAGTGGTGCCACTGTTGCTGTGGTAGTTAAATTTGTCAGTATTTCCATAATACACTTTTCAGGAGTTTAGAATTTATCCATACTCATTTAGACCAGAGTACAAGTTCTCATTTTGGGAGTCTTCTTTCCCCCAAAATGCTGACAAAAAGCATCACTGTTTAAACTTTTACAAAACAAAAAGTTTACAAAGTTTGTTCCTATGTTTTGCTTCTATAAGAATGGCTGGGATTTTTTTGTTTTTGTTTGTTTTTCGTAGGGTATGGTTTGTGTTTAAAAAACAAATCCTTGGTTATCTATTTATTGGATGTTTTTCATGGAGAAGGATAGGAAAATGGCAGTTCACAGAGCTTTCTGTTTAAAAAAAAGTATTAATATTTGGGCCATTCTTCACAAAAGCTGAGTACTTATGTGTTTCAGCTGAGTAATATAGGAATCTTTAAGTAGCCAATGATACAGATGGATGTTAAATAGAATTGGATGAATAACAATACAATTTTTAAATATTCCACTTTAATAAATGTTTTTGTTAAAATTCATTTTTTCTTTTTAATGTAATTAACTTATTTTAAAAATAAAGGTTCAAACACATAAATATCTGCTAAAATAATGAGTAAAGCATGGGATAAGCCAAAGCATTTCCATTTATATAGGTGCTAAATAAATATTTATTCTGCCTGAAAGTATAACACTGTTGGTTTTAATTTCGTAATTGGTTTGTGCAACCAGTAGTCTGATGAGTTCACATGATCAGGTATCATTAGATGGGAAGAGAGGGAAAACTTCCTACATAAGACTGTTCCAGGTCAATTAAATAAATTGAGATATTTTTAATTTCTTGGTTTTGTAATACCTTCTTTGAACATTGCTGCCTTTTCAGAGACTTCCAGAGTGGAGATATCACTAGTAAGTTCTACTGAAAAACAAAAATACATATTTTGGTCATTCCCCAATACTTTTTCATTGAACTTTTGCTTACATAACAGTAGGCCATCACAGCAAGAAATCAGCTTCGGAGCCTCACCAATATAGAATACTAGAACACTTAGCCACTGTTGCCTGGGCCATTCAAGGCAGGGGGCTGGTAGGGTAGGAGGTGCAGAAATCAGGGCAGAGCCTTTGGGGATGTGTGGGGGGCACAGGGCAGAGGCTGGAGGCATGTGAGAGTGAGAGTTGGGGGATAAGGAGGGGACCAGGGCAGGGAATCCCGTCCGGCAGGGCCTTCTCTTATTCTGGCACCAGACCGTAAAATATCTTTATCTAAAATATCTATATCTCTGTATCTATAAACCTTTATCTTCGGTATGTTAAGGACTAGTCGACTAGCTGATAAGCAAATGCTGAGGTGGCATTTCAAAGGGACAGGGCCGCACAGCTGAGCCAGGGATCAACTGTGCAGCGCTGCCTCATGTGGAGCCTGGGGTCCCCAGCTGATCCTGGGCTCCAGCATGGCATTTCCCCGGAACCCGGGATTAGCTGGGGAGTCCCCAGCTGACCCCAGCTCCGTGTGACATTTCAAATTGGCAGGGCAGCCCGACACTTGGTGTTGCTGTCAAGAGTAAGTCTCAGGTCCGACACTGGGTTCTCAAAGTACAAAAAACGCTACACAGGTATCTGTCAAACACAAGCAGTTTATTTCCTGACAGCTAACAGCTGCGCCCCTTAATTAAAAGAACAACATGATAAGAAAAGTGGCATTTCTTACCTCTCTTTGGCTAGTCGAGGAGCCCGTTTCAGCTGAGGATGAAGCGGGAGACTGTCTCCGCTTCCAAGGCGCCTCTGGTACACAAAGCCCATCTGTGAGGTCCAAATTGTTGTGCCGTGGTGCAGTCTTAAATACAGTTCCTCTACTTTGTTTTCCAGTTTGGAAATTTCCAGGGGTTACTCATTACGTGTTGATGTAGGGCTTAGCTGTTAACTATTGATCTGGCTCTACTTGTTCTTTGGCCTTGTTTACGTGATCAGTACGTTAGGGTAAACAGGATTGTTTATGCATTCTTGCCCTTTGCCCTTATCTATACTTGTTCTTGCTATAGTGGCAACAATGCTTATCTTAAATGGTATATGTTCCCAGAAGCTTGACTGGCTCATCATATATAGGGAAAAGGGGGGAATGCATGTCTCACCACCCCTAAACTTGCACATACAAAATTCTTCCTCAATTAACCCCTACACCTGACCCAGCTCCATGCTGCACTGTCACTTTGAAATGCACAAGAGCTCCCGCTGGGGACTCTTATGCATTTCAGAGGAGGAATGTGGAAGTTCTTATCACTAGTTGAGTAGTCAATTAACTGCTAGTTAACATCCTTACTTTATCTCTATATCTATAGGGGGAGGGAGAGATGTGTTGTACAGTAGAACCCTTCTGCCATGGATGCATAGTGGTTCCTTTAGCAACTGGTTATGCAGTAGTAGATAACTGCTTAATCCTAAACCACCAATTTCTTTTCAGATAGATGGAGAAATTGCTTATGCTGGCTGTCAAATTTAGGAGATATTTAGCTCCCTGATCATTTCAGGGTATATTTCTGCCTTTAAAGAAAATGCATTTTTTTCCACTCTTGTTTTCCTAATAATTCCTTTCTTTGTATTTCAAACATAACAAAAGGGGTTTAATTGCTTTTGTTTCTGTGCATCATTAATGAAGGTTTTCTTTCTTTACAATATGAATTGTCTTCATGTCATAAGCAAGGTGATTTGTGATGATGGATTTTTGAAGAGTCTGTATCTTGATGTTTTTTCTCAACCATAAAATAATACTTTCAAGTTCTTATATTGCATGATTGGCACTCAGTCAACAAGCTTGTTGCCCTTTTGGCCAGTCCTTCAAAAGCAAGTGTTGAACTCCCACTACATACCTAATTGGTCGTCTGTGGGAAAGGGTTTTCTTATATTTAATCAGATATAAAAACAAACAAGGTTGCATTTAGATAAGCATATTGAGCTTTCAGACTCCATCAGAGATGACCGCTGGTGACTGTAGAGTCCCTTTAACAAGAAATAGTGCAACATTACAGATCTTTATCAAGCCAGATTCCTAATTAAATGATTTTACAGGGACCAAAACTGCTAGAACAATGGTTCCCAACCTTTTTGATACCTGGGACCAACAAACCCATTCACAAACTTTTATTATTGCAAATATTCATTATGCAAATGATGAATATGCAAATAAAACATTGCTGGTCCACCAAAAGCCCAACCCCCAGAGCTCCCAGTACCAGCCCTAACCCCTAGAGCTCTCCATTCCTCCACTACCCTCAGTGTCAGCCACTGATCCCAGAGTCCGCAGTGCCAGCCCCCATCCCAAACGCCTCAGTGCCAGCCTCTCTTCCCTTTAGAGCCCCCACCACCAGACCCCCCTCTGTACCAGCCTCCTGTTTGCACTCTACTGCACCCAACCTCCCCAGAGACTTCCCCAGTGCCAGACCCCGATATTAGCCCCATCCCCAGAGCCCCTCAGTACCAACCCTGCCACCATAGCTTCCCCCACTAATAGCTCAGCTTCTAGAATCCTGTAGCACTAGCTCTACCCCCAGGGCCTGCTCTTCTTCCCTCACCTAGCCCTGTGCTGCTGCCCATGTCATGGTGGCTCTGGGGGCCAGACTGGGGTACACCACCCAGCGCCTCCCCTCTCACCACAGTTATTGGGAGAGGCATGTCCTGCCCCGCCTCTCAGCCAATCAGTGCGGGGCAGGAGCAAGGTCTCCTCAGGCTGTGGTTACCTGTGCAGTTGGAGGGCTGCATGGATTGGCTCTGCACAGCCCTCCTGCTGTGCAGAGAACTGCTCTTCCACTGCTTGGAGGAGACCCAACCTCTGCCCGATGCTGGTTGGCTGAGAGGTGGGGCAGGACATGCAACCCCCCTGCCCCCCAAGAAACAAAACAAAAAAAACTATTTAGAAAACCCTCCACTCCTATTCCCCCACCTCCAACAAAGTTTTCTTCTCATAGTTGTACACTGAAACAAATTGTCCCCATTTGTTTGGCATATACAAGTTTGGTATGACTTCATCACTACCAATTTTCCACAAAAATAGAGAATGGAGCTTAAGACTTTTCTTCTATTATTATTAATAAGTTTTCATCATATGGTTTCTTTTCCAAGACACTGTACTTTGTAAAGATTAATGCATTTACCTTAAAACAGCCCTGTGAAGAAGGTGAATATCATCCCCATTTTACAAGTGAAGAAACTAAAGCACAAAAGCACTAAAGGCTTTTGTAAGGTATGTCAGGAAGTGTACAGAAGGACATGGGGTAGATTCAAGCACTATTTTGTACTTTAATCGGAAGAAGTAAAATTTTCAAAAGTGTGTTAAGGGACTTCGGAGCCTATGTCATGGGACACAGTCCAGCATCTTAGACATATATTCTTTTTAAGAATACAAAGTACTACAAATATTTTGTTGAGTGCTTGAATACTGCAATATGCAATATAAGTTTGGTATTTCTGTTAGTGACCATTATAACAGGAATCTTCCAGAAACTAAATGAGATTGCAAATTATGGGATTATAACTTCTTTCATAGTCCCAAAATGATCCAGGATTCCACTTTATTTGGAAGTTGAAGAAAGTCAGCAATGGTTGTTGTTTAAGATGTCCACATTGCAGTTTCTTCATCCACACAGTCAAGCTAGATATCTGCTTCTAGTGAAGAAATGTACAGGGTGCCTGTCTTAACATCTTCAGAAAACCACCAGAATTTATGCCATTGGTCAACATTTTCAGTTTAGCACTATGTCCAGGATGCAGAAGTCTATCCCGAGATTAAATACAAAGATTCTATGAGATGGTGTATTGGGAAAGAAGTAGAGCATATCCTCTACACTCAAGTGTAGATGCCTGATAATGCAATGCACAGGATAGCTGATTGTTTACCTTAAAATCTTTCAGAAATGGATTCGACGTGGTTTGTGTGTGTGTGTGTGTGTGTGTGTGTGTGTGTGTGTGTTTTGTTTTCATTTTTCCTGCTAACGACAGAACTCTGTGGGTAACCATTGCTCCCAAAGTCAGAGATTTCTTGATTTTTTTTCACTGTATCCACTATTAGGATTGTTTTGTTAGAGCCACCAAGACATTTCTGTTTTCTTTGGCCCCTTTCCCAACTTTGTCTTAGCGATCTTTGTTAGGAAATGGACCAAATACCACCTCTGCACTTCACTGGTCTATTTTAAGTAAACTGATTTTGTACAGGAAATGTGACCGATTGGGCAAGGGAACCAATCCAAACAAGTTGAAAACGCGGCGCAGAACAGCTATCATCCATTTCATGATCACAGATAAGAATAATAGCAACGGCTGGGGCTCTTGCACAACCTTAGTGGGGACCTTTGAATGTGGATACATGTTATGGATGATCAACTGACTGCTACCCTGGCATGATATGCCACTAGCTGCCTAGAATTCTGCAGAAGGACCAACATAGAGCTCCTGAGAATGTAGGGTTCCCGGTGTGGTTTCTCCACAGCCTTTATCTCTTCCTTCTCAGGTGAACCAGAGCACTTCCTTTGCCTCCAGCCTAATATGTCTTGTGAGTTACATGCATACGGAACTAGGTGGACCAGGAGCATTCAGATTGCTGCAGATATCAACCTCCAGAACAATATTAAATTATAATTATTTTGGGGAAACTTGGTCATTGGGGAAAAATCCTTTGCTTTATAATTGTACATTATGGGATGAAACTTATGATCTCCTGTCTTAAGCAACTGGCTTAAAGATTTTTAATACTTAGTTCAAAGCTAAAGTTAGGCAACTGGTATTTTGTGGATTTTTTTTAGTAATTCCTTAATACAGTTAATTGTATTTGGAGGCTATGTTTTGAGTAAATTTTTTTTACTACAGTTATTGTGGCTTTCATTAAAAGCAGGGAATGAATTTGGAGCAATAAGATATCCAAAGTGGGATGGAAGGTTCTTTTCTGTCAAAGACCTTTCAATATTATTTCCTGTGGCAAATATACTAAATAAAAACCACTAGAGAAATCATCTGGGTGGCTGTATCCACAATCTAGACTATTTTCGACTGAAATATTCTGACCTTAATTCTGATCACAAATGGCTGGAATTCTTATGGATGAGAAGCTACACTTAATTGAATTATTTTGGCTTAACAACTTTTGAGTTTATGGGAATGTTCCTCTGTATCTTTTCTTCTGCTGATGCATGGTTGTGTGAACTCAATATTGATAGGTATTATTGGATATGCTGCTTATGAGTAGGAAACATATTTTGAGGAGTATACTTGTTTGAAATGATTTCCTTTTGCGATGTAAACAATTGAAAGCCCTTCTGGAGCTGACTTTGACTGTCTTTGCCATAAACATCTTCACTGTTTAAGATTGGGAATTTGTTGTCTTATTTGAAACACTTCCAAAGTAAAAAAAAATTGTTCATGAATTGTTATTTAGTAAAATAGGTATTAAAATACTCATCCAATTTGACAGGAAAAGTTGCACACAAAAATTCAGAGGAATACATTCTCTGGGGAGTGTTCTAAAATGCCCAACAGAAGAGTAGAGCAATATGTAAACATTCAACACTTGAGTATTAGTAATTTTTTCTTGGTCATGTGGACCAGACAAGTTTCACATCTACACTGCTCATTGGTAGATCAAGAAGGTACAATAACCCTGTGGTCAAATAATCATCTAAGCTAGAATTCCAATTTAACTTTTAAAAAGTATTGCCTCCTTTTTATAGCCTACATTCACCATACTAGTTATTCATTGCAAATAAGGTTCTAAATATGCTGTCTCTTCTAAAATATAGTCTGGAATTCCAGTTTGTCTTCTAAATTATGATGGTGGTTTAATTGTTGAACTCAAAGAGGTTGCTGTGAGATCTACAAAGTACAGAGGAAAGCACTGTTTTTTTGCCCAAGTAGCTTGCAGTTCAAAAAGTAGTTGAAAAAGATGAACTTCCAATCTATAATGAATGTCTATATTTGGGTCATCGCAAAAGAGGTTTTTAAGTAAACTGTTGAAAATGTTAAAAGTAAAAAAAAATCTTCTATGAAATAAAATGTATACATTTATGAATAAAAAGCAGGTCTCTTTTGCATATCTTTTGATGGAGCACTAAAAATATATCCACAGAAATCCATTGACTATTTTACGTTTAGAAATAATTAAACTCACTTGAATTTGTTAACAGGAAGAAGGTGGAGAATGACTATGAGGCTCTTCAAGAACGTCTCAATACATTGCCTGATAAACTGTCTTATGATATCATGGTACGTACTATGTAGTTCATTCGGAATAATGGACTAATGGTTTCAGTATCTGAGGTTACTGCAGTGGCAGTGAAGTATATTATTCAGGTTTACCATATAGTACTTCATAATGATACATTAATTATGGTAATAGTTAAACCTTTGCTTCCTTTTCTCTTGCCTCTTTTTTCAAATCCATAATAAATTATAATTTAACTAACAATTGAGAACTGATGACTTAAATGTTAATACAAAATATGGCATATTTGGTATGCAAATCTATTGTACCAAAAACTGTAATTATGACTGAAATATGGTACTTACTCATTTCCTGTTAGCCATAGAAGAAAAAGGCCATAATATGTTCTGATTCACGGAATTAAACGATGCAACATTGATTTTTATATTAAAAGGTGGTGCTAATTTTTATTTTAATGATCTTCATATTCGCATAGTGAGTTCTTGTGCTTTGAATCATTCCTAGCCAGAATACTTTAGCCTTGAATACCAACCAGAATTTAAATTCTTGACTTTACAAATTTAGTGTTTCCTTGTTTGAGAGTATTTTATGCCTAATTAATAATACACTTTGAAAGGGGTTGAATTGCTCAACGATGTGGCAATGGGATACAGAATCCTTTATCTGAGGCATCACTTCAAAACTACTAAATAAAATTAGTAGCCATCTGCTGGTTGTTATGTAGCATATCAGAATTTGAAACAAACGTGTAGTCTTAGTCCATTTCTGGGTAAATTTCAGTGGCTGCTCACTGTCATCCAGGTTGTCATTCTCAACAAGAGAAGTCAAAGGCTAAAGTGAACATGAATGCTGAACTATTGTCACAGATTTTGGGGGCTAGAGTGCATTGGTGAGCTACTTTGATTTGTCAGGCTTATATAGCCTGTTCTGTGGATAAAGAAGACTGGTATTGGTTGAGCACGTAATCAACAGCATTAACTTTACTGGGGAGGATTGTATGTATGTATGTATACATATACATCAAATAAACTGTAGAGTTTGCTATTATTTTATACTTCACAGCAAAATGGGTAGTCTTGTTGCAAAACACTGCACAATTATACCAGACTTATCTAGATATAGTTTTAAAGTGACAGTGTCAAGTCACATCTGCCATTTTAAATGTATTTTAAAAATCTCTGTCCCTTTAGCCAAACATCTGCCTATATTGTTAATTTTATACACAGTGGTTCATGACTGTAAGGTGAACTGGGTGATAGCTGCTGGACTTGTTCCCCCTTCCACTTTTCTTCAGCTGGATCACAGCTGAGGGCAAGCACCTGCAGTCTTCCCAGTTTTAAGTTGAAGCCTGAATGAGAACCAGATATGAGACTGAGGGAGGGCAACTGGTACATCTGGGATAAGATTAGTGTGGGAGAGGGTCTATTGCTCAAAAGTCCTGAAGGGATGGTGTGGGGTCTGGCTAGGTTTATGTATAAAGTTATGATCTATGGGGTAGATGGAAGGATCATAAATGTAGTATCATGTTTTTTGTAAATTTTAAGAAAACGGGATACACACTTTTAACAAACATGTCTTGAGTAACATTTATTTATCATTAATTTATCATTAATTATTTACTCCCATTGCCTGTATTCAGATTTTAAACCATTTGTTTCACGTTCTTATGAGTTACTGGAGGAAGACATACATGGCCTCCAGAACGTTGCATGAGGATGATGTTACCCTCACATTGGTAAATGAGAATGGAAAGTGTGTGGATTAGTAAGCAAACTCTCCCACTTCACAGGGATATTACTAGGTAGCAAAAGTCACAGGCTGGAGACAAGCAAGTTTGATTTGGGGAAAAAAGAAATCAATTTGGCATTTCTGAATAGTTATTAATGACATGGCTAAAAAAACCTGTTGATATTTGAGTTGACTGTTCCTTCATAATAATTTTTGAATCTGAGAAATGTTATACTTATTGGGAAGTGAAAACATTTATTTTAGGTATAGTAAATATTTTACAGAAATCTAAATAAGATAGACTTTAAAAATAAAAATACTGTAAGTGGTAATATAGTATGACTTTTTTTTTCCTGTCAGCATCCATTAGTACCTAGGTTTTATTCTTGAGAAGCATTTTCTGGTTAAATATTTACCTACTCTTTTTGTTACAAGTGCCAAATTCAAACTGTGGTTGGGATTGAGATCTGATCGTTTGATTGTTTATCATGTGTCTGTCATTAAATAACATTGCTATAGAATTTTGAGTCCTACTAACCCTGGTTGAATTTTAATTTGTTTGGCTAAGTGGTCGTTGATGACCATCAGATTTAATTTTTAATAGTGGTTTTTAGATGTTTGCTTTCTGACTTTGACAGGTACCTTTTGGTCCCCTTGCCTTCATGCCAGGAAAACTTGTCCATACCAATGAGGTCACTGTTCTGCTTGGGGACAACTGGTTCTCCAAATGCTCAGCTAAGCAGGCGATTGGCCTAGTTGAGCACAGAAAAAAACGTATGTATATTTATAAATAATTATTAAGAGTCAAAGTTATGTAGCTTCATGCCAGAATATATGAAACTAGGATGTAATTTTTAATATCCTTTGTCATAGCATTTCTTTTATATATATAAAATAATAGGATTAGACTACAGTATTTGGTTTGATAAGCTAACTGAGGAAAATCTGGTTTGGAAATAATTATCTGTTCTATGTCAGTAAAGGAGGGAAATGTGTGTGTGGTGTTCTTTTGGGGTTTTTTTATTTTAATTTTAAGCACTTATCAAAACTTTAGGCATTCTACAATAAACACTTTTGTAGCAATTTAAAGTTACCAAAATTCATGTAGTGAACTAGCATAAGATGGTGATCTGTCAACGGTTGTTCAGGCGTAAAGTTAAACATATAAAAAAACCTACATCAATTCTGTTAAATTTAGGTGTTGACAAACTTTCATAGTAAAGACTGTCTTCAGACAGCCTCCTGGACACTCTTGCTGTCCATTTATAATCATGTCGACCACCTCTTTTTCAGCTCACTGTAACATATCCTCCCTGTAAATTATAGCAATTACAAGAAATCATAATATGAAAATATTTATTTATTTTAACTTAAATATGCTGAATACTTTGTTCTTTTTGAAAAAAGTGAATCACATTGTCTACTTCTGCTCTTCATTTTCTCTGACCTTGTCTCCCGCTACATGTTCTTCTCTGCCATATGGTTTTCTTCTCTTTCCTTCTCTGGACATGCTGCTCAGTTCCTTTTGCTCCATTTTCCTGGGGACACGCCACTTCCAATGGGGGCAAGCATATTAAGTACCACTGTATACTCTTGTTTCTTTCCTCCTTTTATGTAGCAACAGCCGCTAGTAAAGGCAGTTGATTGGCTCGTTGTCTCAAGCTAGTTTTGTCTCCCGACTCTGTTTTGAAGAGCCTACGTGCGTACCTTTGGAAGCTTTTGCGAAGGGAGGTAGCCAGCTATGTGATCAGCCAACTTTCTGGACCACCAACCAGCAGGTGTTCATCACACCACAGTTTAGCTTTGGTTTCATTTGCTGTGTTATAGTATGAGCCTAAAATATCAGTGTAGATGGCAAGAAAGGAAAAAAGTAACTTCAATTTTAAAATTGGCACTTTTTATCTATGAGCTCCGCATATTTTTTTCAGATTAGTATTTGAGTAATATTTTATCAGTTTTACTTCAATTTGAAGTCTGTCTTGTATCTAAATATCTTTTCATTATCACTTTGCTCTGTTTTCTGTGAAGAGTTTTAACAAAAATGTAATTTGGATTTCATCTGTTTTGTTTCTGTATCCTGTTCTCTGGACATCACTTAGCAACAGTTTCCACATATCAGTGAAAACTTCCCTCTTAGAATATAACCTATGTTACTTAATGTGACTTCTGCTAAATCTGAGATCCATTTCCTTTTCTGTTGTGTCTTACCAGTGTTGTAGGATATTTTTTGTCACCACTAAACTCAGTGACACTCACTTGGTCTTTGCACAGAGATGTCTGATAATACTGAGTATTCTGCCAGAACACATGCACAAGTAGGGGTGGGATTATTTTTTTCTGATCTTTTAAATTGCCTTAGAACATGAACTCAGTTTTAAGTTCTTTTGATGCAAAATAGTAAACAATATCTAGATATAAGGCTTTCATTCTGATAATGCCTCAAATACCACTTTTTTGTCGGGGTGATGGCTGCCAGTGGGAGGCTCCAAAACACTGATAATAACTGAAAACTTTCATTTCAAATACTATTTTAGAGTTTCTGTATAGGAACCTTATAACATACATGATATACAAAAATAGGCATTCTTTCCAGTTGATATCGTTAGCACTATGAAAATTAAACAAATGGACACACAGATTTATGAAATTCATGCAACCATTTTCTAGTTAGATGAGGCAATTAAAATAGATTTGTAAATAATTCTTCCTGTTTTTGTTTTTCTAATTTTTAAAAAAAGATTTCTTAGATACATAAAATAATTGCAGGCCATTGCTATAAAATGTGCACTAACCACCGGTGACACTTATGAACATGAAATAGTGTTACTTCATAAAAGATTTTGTAAAACATACTTTTCATATTGCAGTGCAGCTGTTTTAATAGGGTAGGTCTCATTAATTTCAATGGGATTGTATGTTATAGTGGCTTCATAATTTACAGTGTGATAAATATTGACATTATCTTTATATTGGTGCACCATTGTTGGATTCCAATCTCCCCATTTTTTGTTTGAACATAATATTTATCAGGAGTAGGTCCATTCCCATGAGAAAAAGGAAAAGCTGTTTCAAGGAATCAAACTCTTGCAGTCTCTAAAATGATGGGCAACAGCATTAAGGACCCATTTCAACAAAGCATGTGCTTTGCTAGCTCATACTTTAAGTGCTCTGCTGAGTTAGAATTAAGGTCAAATGGGCAATAGTATAGGAGAGATTCAAGCTGAAATCTCTTCTTGTGATTATAATGTGGAGATTTCAATTGCTGATTCTTTTATGACTTATACTTTATGTAATTGACAGTCTCATAATCTTGCTAAAGGAGACAACCAACCCTTGAATTCAATAATTTTATCATATTTTATTTTCAAAGACCAGTTTTTTTGTAGTAGTCAGTATTTTTATATTAGAAGTGAATTTACATTGTTAAACTCTATTTTTTCACATTAGCATTATTTTTTCACATTAGCATTATAAAAAGAGGATTCCAGATATATCAAATGATCACAAGAGAAGAGTATCTAGACCATTTTATGTTATGGGGAAAAGTAGATTTCTTTTTTTACTATTTGTGAAAGGTATAACATTTTTTATAAATTTAATAATTCCTTAAGAGATTGTTGGTAAAAATGTACCATTCTTACAGGCTTATTTTTTGTTTCCCTCAAAAGAAGTGCCCAAGTACAACAGAATTTGTCACTTGAAATTTATCTAATTTAAATGTTTAATTAAAGGTTGATTGATATCTCAAAATACTCGTTTCAGAACATGAACTTTTTGTGTTTAACTTTTGAGTTGGAGCTTGAGGTGTTCAGTAGTCTGACTGAAACAGATTTCAATTTAGGGATTTTTAGCAAGTAGTCGACTGGAAGACTACCCCTCCCCCATTGCCTCTGTCAGAGGCAGCAAGGGGGGAGCCCCTGTTCGCAGGGGTCCCAACAGGGAGCTGGGCCTCTCCCCATGGACAGGGGCTGCTTCCCGAGCTAGCCACGTGCAGGTGCTGCTCCGGCAGCAGCCTCTGACTGCAGCCAGCCCTATCCACCGTGAACAGGGTGCCGGAGTAGCTTCTGTTTGTGGCGGACAGGGCTGGCTGCCGTGAACAGGAGCTGCTGGACTCAGCACAAGCCTGGGACCAAGCAGTCCCAGCTCGCTCTGGTCCGGGATGCTGTGGTTCTGCATTGTAAGCCATCTGCTCTTACTATGTTTAAAAAGCAGAGTTGCAGCGTGGGTGGCTCCCAGAGCCAGCACAAGCTGGGACTGCTCAGTGCTAGTTTAAGCCGGCTTCTGGAGATACCATCGCTGCAGCTCTGCAGAATGGTCCTTATTGACTAATTGTATCAACTACTTGACGAGTCAGATAACCGTGATTTAACATCCTTATTTCAACCAGTAAAACACAAGGACAATTACTGTTGTCAGATGTTATGCTTTTGATAAAAATATAGATCATATCCTCCACAAGGGGGATCCAGTGGATACAGTGTTACTTAGATTTTCAGAAAGCTTTTGACAGGGCCCTTCACCTGTATTTTTAAACTATTTTTAAATTAAAATGTAATGAAATACAGTAGTGTATAAAGTCTGATAATACAGTAATGGTAACCATCTTATACACTTGCTCATTTATATAAATGAGAAGAAAAAGTGAAGTAGGTTAGATACACATATACCAAATTCCATTATAATAAAAGAAATTAGCTTTTTAAGTATATCACAGTTCAGCACAACAATAATGTAATAATAGTTTTTTCTCTTACAATTATTTTGCTTAAAGTACTTTATAATATTTCTGTTCTCCTCAAGGCATGTCTGTATTGTTTCAGATTCAAAAAGAGAATAAAGATTCCTTTTTGTGACTATGGGATTATACCCTTTATATGTTTTTGATTATGTAAATTATTTCCTCCCTGTATCAGTAATTGCATTTATTTCTTAAAATGGGGATTTTTTCATTATAATAGTCCCTGTGATAGTTACTATAGAAAGAAATTAAATAGCTTTTTGTGTAAATATTTGTGGATTGGTGTGTGTGGTATTCTAGGTATCTGAATACTTTAAAAAGTGAGAAATTAAATTACAAGTCCCTCCCTGACCCCCCTCTCCCAAATAAAAAACCAAACCCCAACAACCTTGTTTATTGTGGTTATGGTATTAAAATCTATTGAATAAAAAAAATAAAATTCTGCTTAAAGAACTCCTGAACTGCTTAGTAATTGTACTTCCAATATATATAAGAATGCCCTTGCATGTGATGCTGCAAATGAATTCATAAAATGAAAATACTGATTACATTAACATACAGTATTGTGATAGTACCCAATTGTAAATTGCAGTATGTAACCTTTAATACAAATATTTGTGTCAATCAAAATTGACCGATGTCTTAGATTGCAGTATTATACAGTGTTTTTCAAAAATCATTGTTTGTAATAAGATAAAACCAGGCAGATAAGAGAAAAGGCTGAATTTGTTCATTATCAGTGTTAAAAGGGAGAAATATTGCCTCTGATAAATAAATAAAATAAAAGCTTTCCATTTTCTACACAAGAATAAGTAGGATATTCAGGGGATTGACACCTTTGTTGCTTTATCTGTGATATCTGAAAATATATATTGTATAAAACCAAAGAGTTGACATTTACTTGTCCTCATATGTGTGTGTGGTTTTGTTTTGTTTTTTGGAGGAAAGAAACATTAGAAGGCAGGTATTATGGAAGAAAGCGGTCCCTTTTTTTATTAGCATAACAATATTGATCTTTTATTTCTAGCTGTTGTTT